ACAGATCTGAGCCGATTGCAGGGCAGCGGCTGTCTCACGCACCTGTTCCCGGATTTCAGGCTGCATCGGGTGCTGGGCCGGTTCCAAGCGTAAAAGTGTTTTGGAGAGGGCCGTGGCTTCATGGAGGAGCCTCCGGTGAATGGGTGCCACCTGCAATCGGGTCAGTAGGTTGAGCGTGGACTCCTTGCTAATATGCGCAAAGGAATGGGCAATGGCACGGAGGTGTCGAGTGGCGACCTGTTACATGTGCTGCACGTCCTTGGTGCCTGGTGATGAGGCGGAGACTCCGTACATCAGGGTGGGGAGGACCGTTGCGCTCCACAGCCGGACCCTGTCCTGTTCGGACAGATAGCTGCGGGAGCACAGGATTGTCCTCAGTCGTTGCCATGTTCCGTTTGCTTCTCGAATGCGGTGGGCTACCGTCTGCTTTGGCGCGGAATGGTAGCTGAGTATCACTCCAAGATAGGTATGCTGATCCTTGACAGGAAATTCGAACAGCCTGGACCGCGGGGTTCGGATACGGATGTGGTCACCCTCTGGGGTGCGGACCGTGTGTTGTCGCACCCATTTTCGCGCGAAGTGTCCTCTATATCGAATAAGGAAGGCCGACTTTTTAGTATTGATGCACATACCATGATCCACCAAGGAGTCCAGGATCGTAGCAAATCTGAAGCTCGCTCTGTCTAGGGCCTGATAAGTCCCTGCTGTGTCCTGCAGCAGATAATCATCCGCGAATTTTGTAATGCCCTGCGCGAGCCACTGAGCATCTAGAGTCGGCGCAAGCTGTTTGTGCATGAATGCTGTGAGAAGTACCCATAGCAATGGAGCTAGTTTGCAGCCTTGGCGTAATCCCCTTGATGCTTCCACCTGCGCTCGTTGCCCCATATGCTGGATGTGGTATTTTATGGCGCCATGCCAGTCTGAGGTCCATGCGCGGATGTCATCGGGAATGTTGGCGTCCTCTAGGGCTGCTTGGATCAACCCCCAATCCGCAAAATCGAATGCGCTAGTCAGGTCGAGCGATAGTTGGCATCCTGCGAATGCTCTCTTCTGTCGGGGTCGATTCTCGTAGGCATCCATCACCGTCCTAGATTTGCATTCACAGGCTTTCTGAACCAGCAGATTGTGGTGCTGGGCCCGGGCTATCGCCACGCCGGTGTGCTTCTCCTGCAGATAGGCGTATTGGGGAACCTGCTGGAGATACCTCTCCACGTACGGTCGCAAACACTGTTGTAAGATGTGAGAGAGGGCGCGGCCGCTGGCCTCGGTTAGTCCGATAGGCCGTAGATCGCGCGGAGAAACGATCCTCAGCTTTTTCGGTATCAAGACCAGCCAGGCGTCCTTCCATAAGCTAGGCACGGCCCGAAGGTTGTTTGCCCACTTAGTTAGAGAGGGGGCCAGGAGGTCTGAGCAGCCCTTCCACATCGCGGTCGACGCTAAGTGGGGTGGCGTGGCTTTGTGGGCGACTAGACTGGACAGGGCTTGCCGAACTTCAGTCTCTGCAACCTCAAGGTAGAGCGGGGCCTGTGCCGTGGGTGGAGGCTTCTGAGGGTCTCGCTTGTAGACTTGCTGGTAGTGCGTGCGAAGCTGTTGTATTTGCACCTCCGCCGATTGCAAGTACCCATCCTTATCTTTGAGTTGGATTTCACTCTTCTTTTTCTTGGGTGCCATGGTGCGCATCCCTACGAATAGTGCCCTCATGTCCCTTCTAGCAGCCGCCTGTTGCAAGTCCTGCAGCCTATTGCTGAACCACTGTTTACAGGCTTGCTTTCCTGCCTTCCTAAAATCCCGCTACGCCTGCCGGAATGTCGCGTAGCTGCGCCATGCCCCAAAGATGGCATCTCGCCCTCGCCGGGCCTGGCGCTTCCACTGTGCATACGCTTGCCACATGCCTTTAATGCCAATGTGCATGGGCTGGATTTGTCACGCCGCTAGCCGCTGTGGGCGGGTCTGTGGAGGCACATCTACATAACAAGGCATTCATTGCTGGGGCATCCGTGGCCTCGGGCAGGCCAGCTGCGACGGCTTGTCTGAAGGCCTGCAGTTGCGGTGAGTGCGGGCATTGGAGGCTACGTATGAGATTCCATTGGTTCCATTCTCTGCTGGGTTGCTTGGGCTTATTGAGGCCGTGAAAACGGTGGACCGGGAGACTGCAAAGAACAGGGAGATGGTAGCTTCCCTGTCTCCATGCTGCAAGGGATGTCTTGATCGGTTTGGCTGTTTTGGCTCTCTGGTCACACTACGACTTTCTCAGAAGAACATGATCGATGAGGGTCTGGCCTTTGGTATGGTAGTAGGTCGTACCTGCATATTTTTGCCAGGAGTTGACTTGTACCATGTGGTGGTCCTCGAGGGTTCGAAGGAGAGTACCCTGATCAGCTGGGGGCTTGGCTTCTTGCTGGACGCACTTGGGTCCGGTAGAGGCACCCTCTCCAAGAGGGCAATTGAAGTCACCCGCCACCAGGACCGTATGTCTCTGTGGTGCCCTGACAAGCATAGCCTCAAGGGCCTGCCACACGTGTCCGCGTAAGTCCCGGACCTCATCAGCGGTGGCTTTGCCTTGGCCGATCTGTCTCTGATAAATATTGTAGGTGTCAAATGTCCAGTCTGGCCTTTGCAATCGGACGTGTAAGAGGCGTCCTAGGACCGGGTCCGAGTGGAGCAACTGTCCGGTGCTGCAGAGATCTCGATCTATGAGGGTGACCACTCCTGCTGCTAATTGTCGGTGGCGGGGGACGTGATGACCTTCCATCGACCCGAGTTGAACGTCTGAACACATTGGTCGCCCCAGTGGCTTTCTTGCAGCATTACTACCTGCGGCCTGTGCAACGGGTCTAGATGCTCAAGGTATAGAAGGAGTTCATCCCATAGTGGTCCTGATAGGCCACCGCAGTTCCAACTAAATAGCAGTACCCTGTCTGGGTCTCGGGCCAGGGGCGTCGGCCTGGCAGGTGGATGCTGCGTCCTCGTGTCGTGGCGACTGGCACCGATGTAGCTCCTATGTAATTGGCGGAGAGTGACGGGCCGGCCTCTGTAGGTTGTGTACTGCTCGGGATGCCGAGCAGCTCGTCTGAGTGCCCGTTTGTAGGCTCTCTTCCGGATTGTGGTGAGCTCCGCCCGAGGCGGTGGCTCTCTGCTGGTGGCTCCGCGGATATGCAGGTCCTGCCGATTGAGTGCATTAGCCGCTCTGGTTGGCTGGGTCTGGATGGCGAAGCCTATGAGCAGTCCCTGCCACCAGCGGGGCTTCGGTCTCCTCAGCTGGCCAGGGTTTTGTGTGCAGGCTCGGCAAGGAGGCCGGCGGGGGCACGGGTCGACTGAGTTCGGAGCCGCACAGCAGCTGTGCACACATGGATCGGGTAAGGTGTTCGAGAGATTGGCTGCGGTCGAGGCCGAATGCAGGGCAAGTATGGCTCGATCCAGCTGGCCTTGCTTCTTGAATACCATTAAGTGGTATTGCCTCCATTTATCTCTGCTAGGCAGCCTCACTCTCTCTTTGTAGCTCAGTCGGATTGCTGAGTGGCGGGGGGCACTGACGTTCCAGGACGGGCCCCGTAGGGCGGCCGCCCATCTCTGAGGGCTGATATTGTTGGCTGGCTCCTGTCTAGGCTTCCCAGAGAAGAGTCTAAGTAGGCCCCTCGCTGCTCTCTGGTGCGTGACGTACACCACCAACCCTCGCCCCTATCAGCCTAGGCAGACGGAATCTTCCAACTTGCAGGGGAGGCCCCGGGGCAAGGAGGAAGGTCTGTTGTTCAGGCTGATCTCCGGTATTGGGACCGGAGTAGCTCGGTTGACTTTGTCGATTGTAGTGTGTTGTGCTGATGGTTTGCTCACTGTGGCTCATACGGTGTGCCGTTGGTTCTAATCGGCAGGGGGGCCTCCACCATGGGGAGGGCTGCTTAGTCCATCTCCTGAAAGTGAAACAGGTTGGCCGGATGGATGTGTTCACTCGCCTCCCTGTCCTGAATCGGGAGATCATGTGCCCTGGCCTTGTGGGGCTCCGGCATTTTATTAACGGTCGATCGGTGGCCTGGGCCGGGGCGAGGCTGAGGGCCTTGTGTTCGCCACCTGTCAGAACGGGACCGGGGCTGGCCACCGGCTGGAGTTCGTGCCTCATAATGATTCCGACAGAGGCGGCAGCTTGGACAAGCCAATCTGGTGGTCGTCCAAGTGATCTCGTCTTTTTATTCGTGGTCCAGGGGCCCGGCACAGGTCTGGATTCTGTCGTCTTGCGAAGGAGGTCTGCAACTCCTACGCCCATGGCTGCGCGTGGATTGGTGAGCTCAACTGCCCGGGACTGAAGGTTCTGGGCCCTTGACTGTGTGCAGACCATACAGAGCGAGTCGTGCTGGTAGCAGTCGGGCCAGCCCTGGAGCTTCAAGGTAGCCGGCCGGGAGGGTCCTAGTTGAGCCTCCTGCGCCAGTCCTGCTGCCAGTGAAATAGGCACACCTAGTCCGGATGCTGGGTCACAGTCGGCACAGTCTGTAACAGCTAGGGCATTTGCTGGGATAGAGGTAGGAGTGCGCGGTGGTGGTCTACGCCCTATCCATGTGGCGTGCCAGGTCAAGTCAACCTCTAGGACTGGAGAATAGATTGAGCATGCCTGTCAGGATATTCGCATGGTGCTTGGCATTTTCTGCTGGGAGTGCCCAGGGAGGTGGCCTGGGCTGAGGCATGGATAGCGAGGTGCCTGCAGGCTGGGGTTGTATTCTACACTTTCTATTGCTAGGGCCGCGACTCTGTTCGCCCCGACAGCGTCTTGGAAGGACACTGCTGGGAACGCGCCGAATTGTAAGAGAGCTGGGAGTAAGGCCGCTGCCATCTGTGTAGCTATGGTGGGGCATGTTCTTCGAGCCCGCGGTGACCTTGGAGCAAGGTTGGGTTAGATCATTAGAAACCTCGGCATGCAGGGTATTCGATTGACGGGCTGCGTGTATTCTCCCTTCTGCACAGTTGCCGTCTTTCCGGTTGCAGGTCCCCGTTTTGGGTCCGGCGAGTCCCGCTCATCCTCGGAGGTGAGAAACCAGAAAGGCCGCGTTCGGTGGATCGGCCTCCTTGTTACCGCTGCTCCGCTTTGCTTTCTTCGGCGGCGCCTTCGCCCGAGGCTTGGTTTTCCCCTGGGTCTGCTGCAGTCGTCTCCGGGTGATTCTAGATGTCAGGGTCACTGGCTGTCGTGGCTGCCTGTCCTCTAGTTCCATCTCCACCTCCACTGCCACTTCCTCATCCTCGACCGTCATCTCCGTAGGCGGGGTGGACTCGTCCTTGCCTCGGTGGTCGGGTTTCTCGGTCTCTGCCGTTCGGGGCAGCTCCTTCGGTCCAGAGGCCTTGGTCGGGCCGTCCTTGGCAATCATTTTGCCGACTCGCCCTACAGCTTCAGCCGCGGTAGCCTGATCATGCTTGGTCAAGTGGTCGCCTCGTAGCCTTGGCAGCGGGGATCTGGATCTGGGTCTGCTGGCCTTGATGTTGCCGGGCCGGCCTTTACCAGGGAGAGACGGGTCGTCAAGGTGCTGATCCGAGGTCTTCGTGTCCTGCTCCCTCCGGTCCATGGCTCCAGGGCCTATCGAAGCGGGCTCTTGCGGCATGTCCTTCTGCTCCCGTTCGGTAGAAGCAGCTTGTCGGATCCTCCCCCGGATCTTCGGAGTGGGGAGCAGCTTGGGTTCTGCCGTCTTCTCCTCGGCCTCCTTCCGCTTCTCCAGATTATTGCCCGGGAGGATAGTCACTGGTGTCGATAACGAACCCTTGTGGGGCTTTCGCCGGAACTAAGGAGCGCAACGACTGCCAGCCGAGGACCCACCTCGCCGTGTAGAGCGTGAGTGGAGGTGACCTGAGGCGCCAGCGCAAAGAAGCATGGAGGCCGTCATCGGCCGGAGGGTCCCCCGGGGGGCTCTAGACAACATTGGCTTTAACCACTGTCCATATCTTTTGTTGCATGGCTGCTTCGCCCTCCAGCAGCCGTATGTTGAACGAGGACCCCGTCGGATGCTTGTCTCGCAGAATCAGGCCTTTGCGGCCAATAATGCGATGATGCGCTCCGCCAGTAATCCGGATTTCTGTCCCCGGGGTCAACTCTTCCATTTTGCATATGGTGGAGGAGTCCATGGGGCCCGGCAGGATGCGTGGAGGTCGCTTACCCATGGTTCCTGGGGAGGGTAGCCCCAGCAATAGCCCTGAAGTTGGGCCGGAGAACTGCTGCGGTCCAGTGCTATATGAGGCTGCATGGGAGTGGCGGCGCTTGGGCAGGCTTCATTCTCCCTGTAGGTCCACTGGGGTCCCGACGTTCCGTCTTGGAGCTGGGCAGTGTCTGCGATTGAGGCCGCCTCCGTCTCGAATGGAGTCCTTGAGGCTGGGTCGCCTGGGGTGCGCAGCTAAGGTCATATGCGCTTCGACCCTGCATGGGTCGGTGCCTGAGTTGTGTGAGCAGGCCCGGGAGGCCTGTCCATCAACGTCTTCCATGAGAACCTGGGTCAAGTGGGCAGACTTAAACACCGCACTGCTACGGCAATGTCCTAGCCGATATTTCAGCAGCAGCGCGGGTAGGGAGAGGCCTGTTTTCCTAGGCTGCTGCGGAAGAGTCTGGTGTCGAGCCGGGCTAGCTGCATCAACGTTGCCGACCTCCTGACAAGCTTGACCCTGGTCTTCAGCCTTCTGGTCTCGGAGGTGGATGCGGCTCAATGCAGATCGCGATCTTCCAATCTCCACCTCATCCTGGCACCACGCCTGCGGTCTTCGCCTTAGCCACCACCGTCGGAAGTCGAGAGTTTGGTGCCTTGCTGGACATCGCCACGGAGCCAATGTTAGGCGCTCCTGAGGAGATCTTCGGCCCAGGTGGTGGCCCTGTCGCTGGCAAAGTCGGAAAAGTCGGACGAAGCATCGCATGGAAGGGCGACGGGGTAGGCGGGGCCATTGCTGTCGTCGGAGTGGCTGCCATGGTCGCTGGGTCTGGGGTCGTCGGTGAGTCTGCGGCTGCCTCCATAGCTGTCAGAGCCTGCACCGGTGTGTGCGGTAGAGTCGCAGTAGCCTCGCCTTCACTGGCTGTGGTCGGTATTGCTGGAGCAGGCGGTGGCGGCCCCGAGGCTGGTGAGCGACTTCGAGCGCCGCTACCACTGCCTCTAACAGGGACCGGTGGTGGCGGTCCGGCCGGCTTTGCAGGAACTGCCGCGGCTGCTGTCGTCGCTTCCTCACCTCGGAGCTGGTGAAGCCGGAGATCTCTGAGCTAGCCGGGTCCGAGTCCCTGGCGGTCGCTTTGGCTTTTGCCTTCGATCGGGACCTGCTCGTCGCCGGGGCCTTAGGCTTAGCTGCCCTTTTTGCCTCCTCACCTCTCGGCATGGTGAGACCACTCTGGCTTCGGTGCTTTGAGCCCAACTCACGGCAGGAGGCAGAGGCTGAGGCAGCTGTGAATCCAAGTGCGTTGCATCGATTGGATGAGTCTGAGGCGTGGGCAGGCTTCGAGTCAGTGAGGCCACGGCAAGCAGTGCTGTGAGCCAGATGGTAGCTGGCTTTCTGACGACCATCATGCTTGCTACAATACAAAACGAAATCTACTCCAAGCTGAGAGCCAAGTAGCAGTAACAGTAGCAGTAACAGTAGCCGTAGCAGTAGCAGTATCAGTAGCAGTAGCAGTAGCAGTAGCAGCAATTTTGTAGTACCAGTAGTAGTAGTAGGAGTAGTAGTAGTACTCCCACTCCTACGAATACTACCACTACTACTACTACTACTACTACTACTACTACTACTACTTCAGCTACGACTGCTACTCCTCCTACTCCCACTCCTACGAATACTACTACTACTACTACTACTACTACTACTACTGCTACTACTAGCACTGCCACTACCACTACTAGGAGGAGTAGCAGTCGTAGCTGAAGTAGTAGTAGTAGTAGTAGTAGTAGTAGTAGTGGTAGTAATAGTAATAGTAATAGTAGTAGTAGGAGTGGTAGTATTCGTAGGAGTGGGAGTAGTAGTAGTAGTAGTAGTAGTAGTAGTAGCAGTACAAGTAGCAGTAGCAGTAGCAGTAGCAGTAGTAGTAGTAGTAGTAGTAGTAGTAGTAGTAGTAGCAGTAGTAGTAGTAGTAGTAGTAGTAGTAGTAGTGGAAGTGGTAGTGGTAGAGTAGTCATTTATTAGTAGTAGTTATGACTATTACGGCTATTTATACTTGTTGTTTATCATTGTTGTTGTTATCAGTCTTAGCATCGTTGTCATTACCATCACAAGTAAGAATAATGGTTATTAGTACTGGTGGTAGGATTCCAAAGAACAGGAGTAGTGTTGGTGGTCGTGGTGGTGGCATCGGTGGCGGTGGTGGCGGCAGCAGCAGCCGCGGCAGCAAGCAGCACGGAGTAGCAGAAGGGGGAGGGAGCAACACTAGGTTTCGTGCTCGTCGTGAGTTTTCCGGAGCGCCCTTTGCACCATACAGACAGCACAACTTGTTGCCAACCGATTCGGGACGTGATTTCGGAGCGGGTGGATTTGACGGATTAGTGGTTGAAAGACAACTATACTGCTGCATGCTCCGGGGCTTTGTTGCGCAACTGATCTACTGGCTCAGATGGTCTCTCCCAGCACGTTTCAACCATGACCGGTTGCATCGAACGGTACCGTCGGCCTATGGCATGTCATTCTTTGACAGTCCCGTGAGACTTCGAGCAAGAAGTCCGCAAGCCCTTGGACTGACCAGCAGCTGCCATGCAAACCTGAACTCCAGACCCCAAACCCTGACCAGCTCCCAGTGAAGCCTCGGCCTGAGCGTCAAAAAAGGCTTGCAAAAGGGCAAGAGGGATTTCGACCTCCATGCCGCGACTGCCTGCAGAGATCTGGCACAGGCCAACAGTACAGAACAGCATGCACAAGATCCAAATCGAACTGGCCCACGCTATCTACATGTTTGCCGAGAATTGCCGAGCAGCATTGCCAGTCGTTCAACGCAATACTCGTGGGAATCTTCGCGTTGAAGCAGCAGCGTGGATGGGATTATACAGAAGTTTCTTGCAAGCTTTCATGGACAGCTTGTGGATTTCCCCTATTACAAAAACCGAACCGAAGTCAGCTGTGTGGTAGACCTTGAGCTCTCGGGCTGGGGTCGAACGCCCCGGTTGCTGGATGCTCTTTTTCCTGGAAGTCATGAACCTCAGAGTTCTAAAGCTTTCGAAGCAAAGAAAGCCCAAGCCTTGGAGGCTGTCGGCTACCCTTCGAGCCCTGGTGGCAGCACGCCGGGAACCCACGTTTCAGATGGGTGTTTTGGGAGCTTTGAGGTTTTGCATCTGATCTTCAGTTCCGAGGTGATCCCGAATAAACACATCGATCGTCGGTGCAAGTCAATATTCCGGGAGATTTGAACAAAGTCCTGTGTGCAGCGTTGCAGAAGTGCATACGCCAGTAGCAGCAGGGAGGCCGATGTTCCACAGCGAATTCTCGAAAGCTGTTTCCAGCAAGAGAGGCTCGGCCCGTGCAGTCGGTTGGGAAAGGTCCGAAGAAGACACACCCAAGCACATGCTTTGGGTTCTAGAAAACAGTTCCGATATGCTGTGTACTTTGTGGGCAAGGAGGCCAACAAGCATCCTATCAACATACAGCATTAGTTTTCGCCCACAGCCATCTATCGGTTCTTGTGCTACCATTCATATTCCGAGTAGCTGCAAACTACACTAATCGCCGTTGGAGCCCAGCATCAGGATGAGCTGTTGAGCCTCCCGGCATGCGCCGGCGCCTGGAGAAATGGTTCAGAGCTCAGGGAACGGGCATTGGACTCAGCGCCTTAGGGGTTCTGCATGCAGCCCTGGGACAATCCCCAAGCGATTTGCTGTTGCATGAACTGCACAGTGACATGCACGCACACGGCGAACAAACCATCTTGTAAGCTTGCCAGACCCCAGATCCAGGTTTCTGAACTCGGCACCTGGGTCCAAAGCACCTCAAATCCAAACTGCAAGGTCAACCCAAAGAACAGCCTTTGAACCTCCACCGGTTAGGCTTGTGATTCTGCCCGAGATCCCTGAGCTCGAAATCAGAACCCTGAAGCTCCAGGTAGCAGCTTCTCCGCGCGTGTAAGCCCTCGCAGACTCGTCTAGCAGCCCACAAGCGCGTGTCTACATCCATCCATGAGAGAAGGTCACAGGGCTGGGTCACACCGTCTGGGCGCAACCAGCCGCGGCAGAGGCATCGCTCCTACTTCTCCCACCCCTGCTGGACTACTTCTAGACGACTACGACGACTACTTCTGCTTCTCGTGCTCCTGCTTCGGCGAACATGAAGAGAGAGGAATGGCTGTCGTCAGTGGCCCAGAAATTCGGCAAACACAGACTATTTTCGTGAGAAGCGGCAACATCTCCCAGTCACAGGCCTGAGTCCAGAGTACTAGCACCAGTCAAGCAGTATTTAGTACGAGAACTGCACTTTCGAAAACCAGCACAAAATCTTCATGCACCTAGAGTCTAGAGACAGTTTGACCAACAGAGAGCTCCGAAACATGCTGAAACCGGATCGCGAAGACGTGAAGCACCAGGAAGCTTGGCTCATCGATTTCTAAACCCCCAGCCGGAGCCCCGACCTAAACCCACAGCTGTGATGAATGCTCGATGCCATGTTGGAGGCCTGCGGGAAGCCTGGCTGGAAGCAAGAGCAGCATCTCTTCGACCTCAGATGCAGGCGGAGATTCCCAGCATCAGGTGGCAGAGGGTTCGGCTGGGTTTCGGGGTCCGGGTAGTTGCAAGCTTTTCTGTGCACATTCATGGTAGTTCCAGATCGGAGGGTATCAGGACAACCTTAAGGCGAAACTTAAAGCCCAAGCAAGGAGTAAGACGATGTAGATCGTCGAGCGCGCTCAGGCACAGAAAGCGTGGAGCGCTCGGCCTCTTCACCAGCTGCTCCGGCACAGGACAAGGCGTCTCAATGCTCTTAGTGCGACTTTTAAGGGCGTAGGGCGCATTTTGCTTTAGAGAGGTTTGCAAAATAATTTTTGCAAGGTGGTGTAGCGGCCTTAAGATTAAGTAAGGTGGGCGGGTAGCACTTGAAGAGGTTGTTCCAAGTGTTGTCCCTGGTCAAAGTCCAGAGGCTGGCGACTAGATGTGAATTTCACCGTGCAAAGACTCCAAACTAGCATCTGCTCCCAAAAGAGCGACTCCCTCCAAACGACCGCAGCGCAGTGGAATTCGTCTAGGTTTTATGCCTGTGAAAGGAGGAAAACATGAGAAATTCAGTCAACACTTGCACAATGTATCAACTTGGGCCCACGTCGTTCCCAAGCCAGGTATCCGACAAAGCCGGAAGCCTAGGGCAAGCGAACCAAGCCGCTTCGGATGTGTGCGCTCTTGGGAGGAGGCCGATGGCTTCTTTATGACAGCCCCACCGCGGATGGAGGCGTCGGAGCAGCAAGTTGCTCAAGGAAGAGGATTTACAGATTCTTGTTTAGCATCTGTGAAGCAACCGAGGTTCAGGTGTTGTTTGCTCTAGTCTTCAGCTTCTCGGGCGAGGACATGTCAATGTGAACTCCAGCCGAAAACGTGCGGTCTCATCAGAGTTGTTGCGCAAGCTGCCAACGAGGCGACATGTTGATTTTGGGGGTGGATGGTTCCCGGATTACTTCGTGAGGCTTTTCAGAGTTTGCACCTGCAGACCACGTGCGCACATTGTTTGCAACAGTATCCAGGCTTTGCTACATTCCAACTTTGAGGATTCGAGAGTCAGTGGTGTGTGTGTCCTACAAGGCGTACTTCCTCCGGTGCCCGGAACCGTAAATATTGGTTTGTTCCGCGCTCGGCTGAAGCCTTGCTGCAGAGGGAGGAAGCGCAGGACCACAGACAGCCCAAAATCCCAGTCGCCGTTTGATCACGAATTCTTCCTTAGTCTGCGCATGTCCACACCTGTCCTGCAAAGCCCGATGGGAGTCGGCAGGCCCCACCCGTGAATGTCGAGGAAATGGCAGTTCTGGCAGACAATGCGGCAGACCAAGAATCTCAGACTCTGACACTCGCACACATGTGGGCTCGGGAAAGAGACACGCTTGCCGCTTGCAGAAGCTTTTTGTGAGATCTGACGTATGTTGACTTTGGGGTCATGGGATAAAAGAACCAATTTGCATATCTACGCACGCAAATATGCTCGGCATCTATTGCCGCCTCTCAATGTACATACATTCATGCACACACGCAGCCACACACCTGAGCACGTGCCACATACACATACATGTACATGCATATGCATGCACCTGTATGCATGATGTCAATACCTGAGCAGTTTACCTTACCTACAGATAGGCGTTGCGCAATCCTCGCGTGAAATTGGACCAACTCAGTGTTAACGCGGTCTTCCGTCATCCAGACTCATCAGACTCGCAGCTGGACTCACTATCGGTGTGTTGTGGCCATCCAACTCGAGTTCCCGGAGAGCGCCCAAGCTTGACGAAACGGGGAATCCCTGTTGGCCGTGAGTCACTCAGCAGCCAACGAAACATGAAATCCCCAGACCGAAACCCCACCATCACCTTGGGCAAGCTTCGTCCGCATTTCGTCCGCTCAGGTCCTGTGCTGCTGCCACCCACGCCATGGCAGCCTCACCCAGGATCGGGGGATCCAAACGTCAGGGTTTATTCCGTTAAGGGTTGGGTAGAGACTAGCCCTCGCGTGACTAATTCATTTGGTATGATCGCGCGTGTAAGACAGTGCAAAACTGTGCATTGGGTGTGCATCGGTGAGTGGTGGGGACAGGAAGCTGCCGCCCCCGACTTTGTTCGTTGCAAGCTCCGGCTGTCAGAAGAGGCCATGTATGCTGTCCTGATGCTCGAATCTTTGTGCGTGTGCCCGTTCGCAGTGTCTGCATGCCTTTTTCCACCTTGAACCTCAGATGGGATCATACTTTCGTCGCATCATGCCACCGAAGAGCCCCGAATTCCGGTAAAACACCGGAGAGCTTGCCGCAGGGAGCACTTCCAAGGTTGTCACAACCCTCAACCGCTACGTTGGAAGATTGGCAGCGGTAGGTCCGTTTATGTCTGATCTTCTCAGCTGAACAATGACAGCTGTTGTCTTCTCGCAGGTCTAGCACACATGGGAGCTTCCATCATGGATCGATTTACAGTCCTGTCCGGTACCCGCCATTCGAGAACATACCATTCATCGCAGTGCGTCATTCCTCATTCATCTCGTTTGCTTTGCCTTCTTTTCTTCACCCTGGGCCGCCTAGGTTCCGGTTCTCTGATGAAGGTAGAGTCGTGAGTAGTGTGCAAGGCATTCTCTGCAGTTGCTCCTGCAGGTCCTTCACCTTCAAGCCGCCGAAGATGCACGGACCTTGGGTCGAAGGCTTCAGTTGAAAAGAGATACTCTCAGTGACTCTCAGAGGTTGTTCACAACGGAACCACGCCACGGAAACACCTCTGACCTGACTGCTCGCAGCTGGATTGCAGTTTCCACTGCATTTGTCAATGATGCTGATGGCCTTCATGCGGCACAGCTACGAGAACAGGGGACTGTCTTCCACCAGATGGTACAAGATAGGAGAAGCCACGACTGCGAACTTGCATAGCTACTGGCCTCCAGAGCCATGTCGTCTTTCGACGAGCGCCTGTTGCTGCGGCAAGCTTCCTTCAAGAAAGGCCGCTGCCGGATCGTCTGGTTCAAGGTAAGGATAGGCAAGGTAAGGCACCAGTTTTGACTCAGGCTCAAACGTACATCGAGTAACCACAGAACACAATCCCGAAAGCCTGTACTGCTTGGAGTCATGCGCGTGTGTGTGAGTATCCGTGTCGAGACGAAGGCATTGAAGCTGGCGATATGCAGCAGCGACTTCGTGAGCTTGCCGGCGAGCTCTGGAGGTCAGCGAAAAGGGACAGGGGGAAGCAGACTCCCTTGAGTATTGTGACTCGTCTGAGCGAGGAGCTTTTAGGGACTTAATCTTGCAGCTTGAGTGCTGGCAGCCGACATGCACCAGGTTTGTTGATAGAAAGGTTTGGCATACAGTCCTCGTCGTCGTGGGTTCTGGTGCAACTAGAGAGTTAAGGGAATTCGACCGGACAAGTGGCTGGAGGCAAGACCACGAAGACAAGCTGTGGAGCCGCCGATCTGAAGGCCGAGAAGCCCAGGAACTTAAAGTCAGATTGAGAACGAATCAAAACTTCAGAGTTTCATGGCTTTGCAGGTGTTGACCCTGGCTAGACACTCACAGGCCTCACAGATCTCTATGTTTCGGCACCCGAAAAAATCTGTTTTGGCTCAGGGCACAAGGGCTGAGAAAGCGCTTCGAAAGCTGGGGGAAAGCAACGCAACTCCTGGCCGAAAGTTGTCTTTGTGCTTTTGGTGGCGGAATATCGAAACTCATGTACGGACAGACAGCTGCTGACACAGGCTTCTTGCTGGAGCAGCAGCTGGTCGAACAGCCTGTTGTAGAGGTGCCCACATGCGCCCACGACTGTTTTCGTGGTTAACAGCTGATGTCCCGTCAGCAGAGGCATGGTCTTGATATGTCTTGGTTCCTGAAAGGTTGATCTCGCTGGGGAGGCGGATGCTATGATGGTGGAAGACCTGCTGTCGCAGCTGCCCCGAGTTCGTGACTTTGAGAATGCATAGATGCCATAGAAGCGGGAAGACATTGGTCAGGGCTAGCGGTTTTAGCGAATGGCAATTTCTCTTTTTTTCTGGGCATTTGTAGTTAGAGGTCAAGCGGCTGGGACCTGGACTCCAGCCTTGAAAATTCGGCTCGCTCAAGGATTTTCGTGAAAGATCCCTGCAGGCAGCAGGCTGTTGGCCAAAGCGGACCCTTCTGGTCAGCTCGACGCTCTCCGGCTGCTGCGGAGTGGGATCTGCGCTGAGACGTCAGCAGGAAGAAGGGTGAAAAGAGGGGTTTACACAAAGCTGCCAAAGCTCTTTGGTAAGCAGTTCTCTCATAAGTCTCGGCTGTGGTGCAGGGGCAGAGCTTTTGAGTGTGCTTTCGTGCAAAAGGCCTGCTCGGAGACCTTCCAAACTGCTTGGTGACGTTGGCCGAGACGGCGGAGGTTGCGGAGATCCGAGTAGAGGCCGCCTGTTTCGAGGAGTGTTCGCATATGACGTTGGCAGCACCTCTCGGTCCAATCTGCAGGCGATGGCTGCACTTGCGGACTTGGCATGCAGCTCGGTGGAGAAGGCCGGAACCGGACCCCCTCTGAAGCACACGGTCCTCCACAGTAGCCGTGCTTTTCGCACAAGAGGCCCTCCTTGTGGCCGAGAGCGGAGCCCTGCCGCTCTGTGTGCGGCTGCTTCAGAGCTCCGATGAGGCTCAAGCTGCGCTCAAGGGATCTCAAGGGTTCAGGGTTCCTCTTCCGTCCTTGCACACCTTCCGATTCCGACTCTCCGTCAGCCCTAAGTCTTAAGTGGTAGAGAAGTTATTAAGGGCTTCGTTCGCGGCTCCTTTTCAAAGGATTTGCTGTCTTTGCTTTTGCCCGAGGCGCTTGGCCAGGAATCCTTCCGGGCACTCCAAGGGGTGCGGCAGACGGCCGAGATCTTCTAGGGAACGGATGGGGAAAGACATTTTAACAGAGTCTGAGCGGCAGGGCCTGGTCCAACTGAACAGGCAAGCCCGATTAATCCCGGCAGCCGAAGTTTGCGAGCCGTGTGGCCAATAAGGGCCAAGCTTCCGACAAGGAGTTTCAGGGTGCCGAAACCGGCCCCGTTCGTTTGCCGCGCAGGAGACTCAAAAGTCCAAGCCACACGGCAGTCCACAACATTAATCCGCCCTGTGCGAGCAAGCTCAGTCTTCTTGTTGGAAACCTCTCCGTCTGCCTTTAGCAACACCTACAAGTCCTGCGAGCACTGCGTGACGGCTCTACATGTGTAAACAGATAAATAAATAAATATATATATATATATATACACATATCTATACATGTATGAGAATATGAATGTATGTATATATATATATATATATGTATAGGTGTGTGCGTGTGTATGTGTATATGTATGTATGTATGTATGTATGTATGTATGTATGCATGCATGTATGTATGTATGTATGTACGTATGTATGTATGTATGTATGTATGTATGTATGTGTGTATGTGTGTAGGTAT